GTCAGAGCACACGCACACACACACACGGATACACAACCCAAGTGTTGCTTTGTCAGAATCTGTATATTATTAATTCCCTGGCTGTTGCAGCTTCGCCTTCACCAACCTGCCACGTCAACTACAGTGTGTGATATAGGCGCATACTTTTCGCTCCCTTTCTCTCCCTCTGTCTGTGTCTCTCTCTTTCTGTGAGTGCCTGTGTGGGTCATTGTTAGTGTGTCTGTGAGTGTGTGTGTGTGTGTGTGTGTGTGTGTGTGTGTGAGTGTGTGTGTGTGTGTGTGTGTGTGTGTGTGTGTGAATGAGGTCTTTGTAGTGATTGGGTAGCGAGCTGTTTTCAGAGGTGAATTCCACAGTAAGCAGAGAGAGTGGGGTTAGCTGGAGTGCAGGATCCCCACTGAATGACACTTGAGGAGACACACACGCACACACACACACACACACACACACACATACATTACAGCTATCAGTGCATGCTGATAAATATCACACGTGACATTACCTCTGGCGGTTCTTTACAATTATGTGATGTGCAGAGTGCATGCACAAGTGTGATTTGTAGCTGTGTCTCATATCAATAAAGTGGGGCCATGGGTCTACTAGAGCAGCAAGCAGTCTGGCTATTGCACTGCTCTTCTCATTAACGTGCCACATGATAAACAGACAGCTGGACCATCACAGTGTGGAGAATGAAGAAAGAGATGGAAGAGAGAGAAAGACGGATGCAAGTCAGAGGCAGGGATAAGGTCAGATTTCATTTGCAGCATCTGAAGCCAGTGAGGTGCTCATGGTAAAAAAAAAAAAAAAAAATCTTTTCACATGTAAAAGTAATAAAAATGTGTAGGACATCTAGGTAGAAGGAAGTTCTTTTTTTTGCAGCTTTGTTTTACAATGATATGCTTCAAATGACACCTGCAAATAATAAAACATAAAATCCATGCTTCATGGAAGCATTTTCATTTGTTCTCATAAATATTTGGTGTTGGGTCATGTTTTTCCAGGAAAACCCCCCTGGTGCACAGAAACGGCCTTTTATATTTCCGGCAGCAGCAAGCTGGGTTTGTTTGGAATAAACAGAGGAAGAGCTGGGTGTTTACCATGAACAGCAGTGGTCTACATGACAAAGCAGAAAAAGAAAAACTAAGCTCACATGAAACTTAGATGGCATCAAAAGAAAGTCCAAAAGAAAAAAGATTTTGCACTGTCGGCTTCACAGATTTAATTGCCCAGGGATCTCTGGGAAGTGCAAAAAATGCCACAGAATTAATGACTACTTATTACTGAAGATGTCAAAAATGAAATCAAACTTTAAAAAAGGGGATCTTGTGGATTACACTTTAATCAAAACCTGAATTGGAATCAGAATCACTATTTACTTTGGATAGAAACTGACAGTTGTAGAAATTACATGGTGACTTTGAGAAGGCAGGAGAATGAAATAAAGATTAAAGATTAAAGTTGCATTTATTCTTTAAATCAACACATAATGGTGCATACATAGCCTCAACTGATATTCACTAGTTCAGCTGATCATTCAAACTCTCTGACCTACAGAAGTGTCACCTCTGTCTCTGGATAGCCGTCCCATACCATTTTCAGGCCGACACACATGGTATGAATCCACATTGATCCAGATGGGTCAGCGTCTGTGATCAGACCCTCTTCCTGACCTGGGTCAGATGCATGTCGGAAACCACTCGGCTTTGGTCAGCAGGTTGGGAATATAATTAAAATGTCACAGATGTTTGAACATTTTTTACTTCCTGACTCCTCTTAAAAAAAGCTAAAAAGATAGAGAGTGGGGAAGTAAGAGAAAAACCAACATGTCGGGGGAGGAAGTGAAACTGAAAGTTAACATGTAATGTGTAAATCTGTTGTTTAGTGTGGAGATGTTGAGGAACTTCTGTCGAGTCTCTGTGAATGTTGACGGGATTAAACTGTGACAGCAGTCTCACATGAATGGGATCAAACGCAGGTCAAAAGCACATTTAGTTGACCCACCTCATACACACATGTCTGATATCAAAAGAAGTATTACCTTCCACTGCCTCCTCTTTCTCTCTCTCTGTCAAACACACACACACACACACACACACACACACGCACGCACACACACACACACAGCACTCTCCCCCTTCTCTACTCTCTCCATCTCTGTCTTGTTTGTCTTGTTTGTTGGCGCCTGGCCTGGCTACCCTTGCTGTACTCTCCAGGGCATCTACGCTACATCTCTGTTGTCTGAGCTGTCAGCTCACATGGCCCCACACACCCTGCCAACACACAAACATACACATGGATTTACTTTCATGTGTGTGTGTGTGTGTGTGTGTGTGTGTGTGTGTTTGTCTGTGCTTGTCTGTGCTTGGATCCTCACAGACAGAAACACAGGCACAAACACTGAATCACAAAGCGCAGGCCAGTTGTTGTTTGTGTACCCGTGTGTAGCAGCAGCACTTAAATTGAGTACACTTCACAACAAACCTGGCTACTAAGGTGACACGTAGAAATTTCTTGAGAACTGTAATTTCCAGCTTTATGATCATTCTTAAATCGCAGAAAATGCCCTCAGCTGCTGTAAGTGAAGCAATCATCATCTGTCGGCCACAGGGAGGGTGAGTGAGCGAGGGAGTGAGTGAAGCCAGACATTTAATCTGGTCATTTCTAAAGGTGGCAGTAAGCGACTGTACAGTGACACAGTGGCTCACATCAGGCACAAAATGGCCGTCCTCAGGTTGGCGCCTGCTGGGCTGCTCTCACACATGCAAATGAGCCTCAGCCAATAATGAGATCTTTAGGAGCTCGATAATTAGATTTTTCCCTTCTCTCTAAGGGAGAACGACAGAGGCAGACAGGGAGCGCGGGAAGACTTCTTTTCGTGTCTTGACTTCTCTGCCTTGGTCTGCGTTGACAACCCCCCCCCCACACACCCTTCCTCCTGCCCCCTCACCTCACCCCTCATGCTCCCCACCCCTTCCCCATCATATTTCTCTTCTTTTCTTTATTTATAATAGAGGGGAGGATCTGAGTGGAGAGCAAAAGAAACTCTGAGATTATATCTGCGTTTTGATTGGTTGTTCAGAGATGGTCTCTGTGTTTGGCTGGATGTGTGAGATGGTATCAATCCACTTTGTGTGCTTGTGTGTGCACGTGTGTGCCCGCGTGCGTGTGTGTGTGCCACACTGTCATGTGTCACATTTCAGGAGAAACTTGACAATAGCTCAAGTCTCTAGACAGGCAATTGCAGGAGAAATTGATTGTGTGCAACAAAACTGCAGCTACATTTGCTGAAAAGCACAATACTCAAGTGATTATTTAGGAGTTAGATGATTCAAGATCAAAGAGGCGTTTTAATTTGACACTAGAAACAAGTGCATCATTTTATACAGAGAAATAATACTTAATAATGTTGGTAGATAATAATAACAGTTGAATTAACGGTCTGGAAATTGGAGAAAATTGCCATTATGAATGGATATGTAACACAAATGGTTATGCTTCTGATCTTGTTGTTCTGTCACTCACAATACATACAGTAGATTTTTAATGTTGTTTACTCAAATCATTGAATGTTGCAAAACAAAATTGGGGATTAGTAATAAAGAGATGCAAAATCATGCACAACCAGATGATCACAGGTTACAATCCTGTGCCGGTTCAGAAAGTCTATCGTGCGCAATGTTCTTATTCAGCAGCTACTGCTAAGAAAGGCGACTGCAAGGCGTGCAGAAATATGTGGCTGAACCCAGGAGCTCCTAGGCGTGAATTAGCTGTGGGCATCTTGGAAAAGGAGCATGAAAGCTCAGTCAGTCTTTCCCTGAATAAGTATAAGGGAGAATTCCCATGCAGGAGGTTGTATTTGAATATTATACTTACCCTCTGTGGTATTTGGATAATTTCAGGTGTGCATTTGTAGCAGGTATTGGACATAATTGGCCACAGTTACGTTAACTGGTCGTGGCACGAGTGCAACTGAGAGAATTGGTGGACATGCGGTTGGCAGACAGAGTGGCAATTGGCGGATTACACAGCATGATACGTAGCACGCCTCCATGACCTGCCACACGTTCTCTACAATGGACACACTTGGCACGCACACTGGGTGGGCACAAGCAGACGCATATACACCCACTTGGCAGACACACGCCTGGCACACTTAACACACTGCCACTTGGCATGCACACATACAGATTAACGCACGTGCTTGGCTGTGGCCCATACGTATGTAATTGAATAGCGCGGTGTCCTGTTTTCATGTATTATTGAGGAGCTCGTTTAATTAGGAAAAAAATGAAAAGACTCATTAGAGATATGTTAATTAGCTTGGCTCTCTGCTCTCTGGAGAGGGCTGGCACCAGCACAGTGGGATGGAGGAAGAGAGGGAGCCACGCAGGAAAGACAGGAGAAGGAAACTGAGTCATGTCAGTCTCGAAGCAGAGATGATTTTATTTCAGTGAAACTACATTTAATCAATATTACAAATCCTAATTGACTAGTTTTTCTATATGTCGCTAATGATGTTCTCCGTTCCACAGCTGCCTTATTTGAACCAGTTTAAATTTGTGAAAAACTACTGCACATAAAGATTCTGAGGCAAAGTTCAAAGTCTTTTAACTAATCAACAAAACTATGTGGAAAGATGAGTGTTTTGCCCCCCAGAGTCTGCAGCGCTGAAGTGGTTCCTTCTCTCGTTCTCTTTTATTTCCTTTCAAAGTGTTTTTCCCAAAGCACTCCTTTTGTCCACTCAATGAAAGTGCTTAGTTGGCAGTTTCTCTTATTTGATGTGGAGGGAATTGGGGCTCTGTGTGCACGCATATGTGTGTAGGTTAGTGTGTGTGTGTGTGTGTGTGTGTGTTGGGGGGTAGTATGGGGTCCTGACAGTTTGTGAAGGGTGTATGGGAGGAGGTTGAGCAGCCAGTGGAATGGGTTTGGCTCTGGGCAGAGGGGTGGACAGACAGAGGGGAAGGATGGAGAGGAGAGGTTTGGGTCTGACCACTGAAGTGTGA